TTAATATAATATTTAAGGAAATCATCAAGTCTGTTATATAGATTTCAATCCAAGCCGCTAACCGCATTTCAATTTTAAGTTTCGATAAAAACCGCACGGCTGCGATCCCACAACTTTAGGCCCGGCAATTTCCTCGATGTTGTCCCACAAATCCGATTTCGTCGAAGCTCCATTAATAATTGAATTGCCTAGTTGTGCTGTGTTTGTAAATAGATTAACCTTCTTCAAAGTGGGGAAACATCAATGGATGGGGCCGTGTTCCGGATGTTGCCCCTTTTGGCTCTTTGCCCCTTCCCTTCGGCAGTTCATTAATATATCAAAGCTGTAATCTCAGTCAACAGCAGCGGCAGGCAGCGACACCGACAGAACCCCACATTTCCCACACATTTTTCCACACCCATTTCCATCGCTTTCGCCCACCTCCCTCCCTCATGGTTAGCACGTAAAACGCTTTTAAACGGAAACTTATAAACACAACGCGCTAATTATTTTTCGGCATGCCTGTTCCATGGTTCTCTCGATCTCTTGCCTTCCGTTCCTTTCGGGTTGCGTAACAAAATATTCGCGTTGCGGTTGTATGGTAGTGGTGGTGGTGGGGGTTATGGGGGAAACTTATCCACCCACCGCAACCCACTAAGTTGTTGTCTAATGCCTCCAGACAGACATTTTCATTTTGGCTTGAGAATTTCCAAACTTCCAAATTTCCGAGTTTCCTCATTACACGGAGAGCTTGCTAGGTGGGCGGGGCGGAGTGGTTAAAGTGGAAATATCACATTCAGGGCTGTAAGTTCGACAGGTAAAATGGCAAATAATTCACCTTCATCTAAAGGTGGGCTTCTAATTGTAATGGCCTGGTTAGTCATCGTCATCGATTTGGGAGATGGCAGGCAAGAGAAAATCTGATTAAAATGGCAACAAATCGCCTGATAATGATATCCAATTAAAGCCCAAATCCAGCATGTAATGAGCTCTTCTTCTGGGCTCTAAAGATAATGTATTTTCACTCTGTGATGCTGCAAAATATTTGATTACCAATCATTTTTATACTAAATTAATGTATAACAAGAAAGGTAACATTTAAGTTTGGAAATCATAACCTGATTCTTGCCATACTTTCAAGTCAAATCGATACTCTAACGCCTTGCCAGATTCCCGCTAAGATGTGCGAAAATTACCAACTTGTCCATAGTTTATGAAGTGTTTTATTCGGGGCCATGAACCATAACTGCCCAACTTGTTGTCAACGTTTTGCTGCCTCTTCTCAGTTTTCGCTTATCGGGCGGGGGCTTTAACGGGGGGGTTTAACGGGGTTTTAGAGGGTTCGACGTGCGCTCAAGACATTAGCGGGGTTCTCCCCTGGCGATGCCTCGTCTAATGCTTTGCCCACCAACAGAGGGCGTTTCTGTGACGGCATTTACCATTTCCGCTTCCGCTGCACGTACGTGGCACTTGGCCTAACTACTTGCTACACAGATAGACCTACGAGGTCACGCCCACACACACACGCTGAGAAAATATTGGTTCGTATAAGGGAAAATGTGATGAAAACACAAAAATTAGAAATGCTCCTCTTTAGGCCAATAAAAACTTAACCGAAAAATCCGCAAATCTTTCATTTTCACGTAAGTAAGGTAAGAAATTATTATTGTAACCTAACTTTTCTCACTGTGCATAGGAAAAAAACCGCCCAAATACTTTCTGTTGTTGTTGTTGTCAGCTCGTTTTTGGCCTGGCGCTTATTGTAGTTAAGTTTTATGCCGCCATTTTCTTCCGCTTTGCGTGTTGCACGTACTTTGCCCCTCAGTTCCTGAGAGTGTGTGTCTGTGGTTTTTTTTCTCCTGCAGTTTTTGCTACTTCCCTGTTGTCTGCACCATCGCCCTTACACCAACGCAAGCCACTCCTACCCTTTCTTTCTCTCTTGCACTTAATTCCATTTTCACTTTCTTTAATGATGCTCAATTTTTTGCATCATTAATCTTTAGCGATTTTCAGCTTTGCCGCTGACTGACACGGCGTCTCAACGGGGTTTTGCTCTGCACTTTCCCATTCTGCACACACTCATTTTCCGCCCACTAGCCTTGCCTTGCCTCCTTTTTAACGGGATGTCTCAGCTGTTTGCCCTAATAAGTATGCTACAAAATTTGTAATTACAATCTCAAGATAATTTGCTGTGAGTGCGCTGCGAAAATCTTCATAATTCTGCCATCACAATCTTGAAAGGCGGTTATATGTTTTATTAACCATTTAGAGAAATCATAACAGGGCAAAGTTTTTAAAGCTTAATCGGTTTTGTATATAAAATTAAGTAATTACTGCAGCTATTTGGCCAGAATTTAAACCAAGTTTATGTTCCTTTAAGCACCTGCTTTTGGAAATACTTTTAAAGATCGTCCCATAAATCAATTGTTTAGACGTGCAGAAATTGTATTGAATTTTAAGAAAACACTTGCCGCTTGCCACTTGCCACTTGCCACTTTACCGATAAATCAATCGCTTAAGAATGTGGCAATTTTATTGAATTTTAAGCTGTTGGAATTTGTGTCAACTCATTCGTAGCGATTGAAAAATGAAGCCTAGGCCCTAGGACCTTGATTGATGAACCCATCGATTATTAAATGCCACACTTTGAGCTCGCTCGCTGGGGTCGTTTTTTGATGCGGTCATGGCTCGATGGACTGGAGTGCTGGTTGAAATTGATTTGATTGCCCCTATTTGGTAGCCCACTTCCGGGCGAGTTTTCGGTGGGTGGGCGGGTTCAGAGGATCACCCCACCTTCGAGAACTTGCATTGTTGATGCTGTTCTCTTTTTTTTTATTTCATACAATATTTTCACTTCGCTCTCGTGCAGCTCTCTCTCTCTAGCTTGCCCTTTTTCTTTTAACAACTTTTTGCTGCTGCTGTTTTTATTTGAAGTTTGCAATAAAATAAAAGCCACACGGAGCTGGGGGATTAGTGGGGCATGGTCAGAGGCAGGAGCCAAGAGCCAGGAGCCGGGAGCCAGGAGCAGAGAGCTTGGCCCGAATGGCCACGGCCCTCGGCCACAGACACGGACACCGACACGGACACGGAACGCGCAACTATAAAGCAAAAAACCTCATTCATATAATTTATGTGTGGCTCCCCAGGGATGGAAACGTGACACGTGTGGCGTGACTGGCAATGTCCTGTGGCTGTGCAATGGGTTCTTGCGGTTTAGCCACATTCAAAAAAAAAGAAGGAACTAGCTAGAATCCCAATTTCAAACTTAACTTGGTCAAAAATTCCTTTAAAATGTTATGAAAATAATGATAAATCCATTGACAAACTCAACTTTGATCTATGATTAGAAAGAATCATGTAAGCAAACTTCTACTTCTTCCACTTTTTGCGATAACTAACCGATTATTTCGATAGTTATCTCTGATAATCCCCCATGAAATGGTCCACCTCTAGGCCATCCGCAGTCCGAGTCCAAAACTGCTTCTGCTTTTACTTCTGCTGGTTGCATTTTATTTTACCATTTCGTTTCGTCCACGCTTGAATTTATGAATTTCGACTCGTTGCCATTCCTTCCCCTTCTCCTCCTCTCCACCTCCCCACCTCCCCCTCCATGTGGCGCATCCATTGTTGGCCCCGCACATATGCGGTTTTATATATTGACACTTAAAATTTATGGGACTTAAAAATCTACAAAACGCTGCCACGTTTTGTCCTGCAAAGTTGGTTTAGAGCTTTGGGTTTCAGTTTCAGCGGGAGTGACGGAAAAGCAGGAGAATAAGCGGGGGGTTTCAGTGGGTTGCTGGAAAGGCGGCGGTGATGGTGTTGCCCCTGACAAAAGCTTGGCCTCGCCTTTGTCCAAAGAGGGGTAGGAAAAACAGCAGTCAAGGCTGTGAGAAGTCAGTTGACAGGAGTGTGGAAAGTGCAAAAACTAAGCAGCAAATCGTGTGTGAAATTAACAGGCTTGCCGCAGCCAGAGTTGTCACCCCCGCGGAGAGTGGCCTTGCAGAAAGAGAAAAACCAACAAGAAAAAAAAGAAAGCAAACGACACACCAATTGAAATGCCTCTAAATGTGTCGGAAAAGTGTCCAAACATTTTCTTTGAAACTGAAAAGCAGACTTACAGCGGGTTGCCAGGCGGTTATTTGAGTGTCAAATTTCGGATAAAATTTTCCAAATTTTCCTTGCCAATTGCATTTCCGCGTTTGTTTACTCATCAATTATCCTTCAATCAAGACTGAAACTTAATCTGGCCAGATCTGCTCCCAATATTCATCCAACTGGGCCTGCCAACTCATTTTTAATGCAAGTTTCCTTTTGGAGAAAAGTTCCTTTCCGTCCCCAATGCCATTCCCATTGCCATTGCCATTTCCGTTTCCGTTTTCTTTTCTCTCCTTCTTGCTCTGCTAATTAAATATAACTTAAAGTCTATCAAAAACAAATTAATCATTTAACAGCCGCAAATTGCCAGAAGTGCGGCTGCCAGAAGTGGTTACTTGGGTGGTAACTTTTTGTTTTCCTTTTTTTTTCTTCTTGTCTTGTAAATGGGTGGCTTGGGTGGTTGTGTGGCGCTGAGCCTTGGTTGCCTTGGTGGTCTAACGCACCGAAAGAAGCCAAGCCAAAAAGCTGGAGGCACTTTCTATTTCATTTTCATTGCTGATTTCATTCAGTTAATCAGCTTATTGAACTTGAGGTTCACTGCCTGGCTGTGGGCCAATCTCCTGGAAAAGCCGAGCTGGCAAAACGAAAAGTTGGCAATTGCGGATTTGGTTTTTAAGCAGTTGCAGCTGCTACTGCTGCTGCTACTGCTGCTGCTGCTGTTCGGTAGAGAACTCAAATCAAATTCAATTTGCCACAAAGCGCAGAGAGTCAGCTGTGTGGCAGCTGTGGCAGCTCTGGCTGGCTCCCAAATTTCAATTAATTACACAATAAGCTTTCTTTTCCTCTTGTTCTTGTTCCCGTATAATAATTGTTATAAATTGTGTGTGTGTTTGTGTCTGTGTGTCTCCCAGATTATCTCTCACCTGAGTTGGTTGAGTGGACAGCAAGTCGATTTGTTCCTCATGTTGCTGCTGGTGGACAAGTGTTGCCGTAGGTGTCAGATGTTGCTGTTGCTGCTGTTGCTGCTGCTGCTGCTTTTGCTGCTGCTGCTGCTGCTGCTGTTGCTGCTGCTGGAACTGCTGTTGGTAGTGCTGCTGCTGCTGGTATTCATATTGCTGCTGCATTTGATATTGCAATTGCTGGTACTTCAAGTGTTGCTGCTGCTGTGATTGCTGTTGCTGCTGCTGCTGCAGCTGCTGTTGCTGTTGTCCATGCACCAGACAGCAGCAATAGAGAACGATTGCCAGCAATTGGATCGTATTGGCAACACTGCGTGCTGTTTTATTTATTGCTGACGACGGCATGTTGCCAGTCGTTGTCGCTCCTCCCCGTCTATATAGTGCAGGATCTCAATCTATATATATCCGTATCCGTATCTCTATCTCTATCTGTATCTCTATCTGTATCTGTATCTGTATCTGTATCCTTGCTGCCTCACACTATCCTATTTTTGTGCCAAGCATGCAACACTTTGGTGTTGCCGCTGTGTTTTCCTCTGTCTCTGGTCTCTGGTTTCGCTTCCTTTCTTCTCTTCCACAAGTTGCAAGTTGCTTTTTTGTTGGGTTTTTAGTCCTCCGCCACTGGAAGAAAAACATTTCGAACCGAGTGAGTGAGTTGAGCGCAAATAAATTCAACTTGTTCTCAAGTGTCGGACATATAAAGTATGTACATACATATGTGTCGGTGTGTGTTTGGTGTGTGTCTGGTGTGTGTCTCTGTGTGTGTGTGTGTGTTTGGAAAATAGAAGAGTACAGCAGATAGTTTGTTTATGGCATGTCAACCCAATCGTCTCCGATTCCGCCAAACTTTTAACAGCGATTTCCAAGTAGAGGCAAGTACTTAAAGTTGAGATTGTTGCATTTTTTGGGCTTCAAACAGGCAACTTAAAGTAAGCCAACTCCAGATAAACTTCTAATTATATATTAAAATATAAAATCCCAAATTTTAGTTAACAAATTTTGTTGCTTGTGCAAGTTAATGGAATTTTTATGCACCGAAACCGACAAGAGAATCGTAAAAGAAAGGAGGAGTAGGAGTGCTGGCTGGCATGTATCATTTTAATATTCCATGGAAATAATTGTGGCCACAAAAACGAGAAAATGAAAATGGGAGAAATGGCCAAGGCAAACGCACTACAGCGACGAGGAGGAAAACACAAGAAAAACGCAGCAATTAAAACAAAAGAAAATGCCAAATAATGAGAGGAGCAATTGGCAAAAATGGCTGCGTGCAAAAATCAAAAATATGATTTTCCATAATTAATGATAACAAAAAAAAAGCAAAAAACAAAACAATTTTCTTTTCTTCTTTTTCTTGCTTTTTTTGGAGAGTAGAAGAAAGAGGCAGACGAAGACGAAGAAGATAGAGGAGAAGAAATCAATTTCACTTTTCAATTAAATGCCGAGGAAAAGCGGATGATGATGATGTTAATGATGGGGATGAGCCGTTTCTCAACGAAATGGAAATGGAGATGAAAATGGAGCTGTTAGCGAGGAGGGGGGAAGGGGTAACTTTTTAATATCTATGCAATAAAAGTTGCTGCGAAAATTGCACTTTGATGTGGCTGCTATGGAAGAGGCAGAGGCGGGTGGCTTGGCATGGTTCGTGGCAATAATGGCTGCCAAAGAGCCAGCAGCAATTACATGCCATATCCATATCTACCCCCTCTCTCTCTCTCTCTCACTTGCCCCTTCTCGCTCTGGCGCCTCTTCAGCTGCATAATCATAAATTTTACTTGCGATAATTTCAGCCGGCAGACAGTATAAAAAGAAGAGTTCTTTTGCTGGGAAAATGAAAAGATTTCAACGCTGGATATATGAATGTTAATTTCGAGAAGGAAAAGGCAACAAAAAAAAATGCCGAAAACGATTAAAAAATAATCATAAATTATTATCAATGGGATGGGATGTTGTATAGCCACTTCCCTTTCCTTCTTCTTTGCTTTAATTTAAGAATTAAATTGCTAAAAAAAATCTTTCAAAATTAACTTTCTTTTCCTTACTCAAGGACTTTTCCTTTTTTTATTGGCTGGCCAATATTTTTGTATTTATTATATTGACTTTTCCTCTCGATATTTGCACATCCGTAAAAGACAGACGGACAGAGGGAAAGCTGCTGAAAAAATAAGAACATTTTAATGCTGGATATGAATGAATGCAAACTGCATGTTTCACCACACACCCTTACACACCCTCACACACACACGTTGGCTGGGCAAAATAAATTTTATTTTACTGGCCAGAATGGCGGGGGGAAAAAAAGAAAATATATACAATCTCAACGCTTCGATTGCCAACAACTTTTGACTGCGTTAACAAACTTGTTTTTTTACTGCTGCTGCTGCAGTACAGTGAAGCTCCCCGTAAGTGCCATAGCCCCCTCTGGTTTGGTGTCAATGATAGCGTGAATGATACTTTGTGTACACACTTCATTTGCACAAGTGTCCATTGGCCGCAGAGCAATGATCATTCGAGTTGAATGGCAGACACACGGCGTATACGCAATGTTCTTTTGGCTCTTTTTTTTGTTCGCCCGCCCATCCCCAACATGTGTGATTGTAAAGTGGGCCAATAATCATCGTCATTATGCCAATCAGCCATCGAGCTGAGCCAAGGTGAGCGTTCATATAAAAATAAAGCCAATCCGGAAAGGGGCTTCCCCTTTAAGTCCTGCCATATCCATATGGCAGAGATTCGATATCAAAATCGAAAATATACAAAATGGAAGCCTTAAAGGGTCTACTTCTTGTGGGAAATGTGGCCAGAAGTCAGCCTCTACTGCGACTAGTTTTTAAGCTTAGATTAACGATTATTTTTGCTCAAAAATAAAGTCAAATCCCTTAAAAGAAATTTCAGAGAAAACAAAGGACAATGAATTATAAATCGATAAACAATCTTGACTATAAACTAAGCATTTAAATTCTAGTTTAAATTCTAGTTTAAATTCCAAAAAAAAAAGGAAAATGAAAAAACGTTAAAGTTTTCCTCTTAACGCCCACTTTAAGCGCCCCGCCTTTGGCCAAATCTGAACACCCTCTGCCTCGTTTATTGCCAGCCTCGTAAAATTGATAAACAATAAATGCGGGGTGGGGTGGAGGGGTGGTTCAGTTCAGTTCGGTCAACACTTGTTTCCACAAGAATTACGTAATGTCCCCATAACCTTCTCCTCATAAAGTATTTTAATGGGCCACAGGACTCGCAACAAGACTCGCTTCAGAGTCCCGAAAATCCGATGGGGTCGTCTGGCATTTTATGCCCCTCTACCAAAAGTCCAAAATAAAAATGGAAAAAAAAAAGGAAAATGAAAATTCAGCCCACAAAAATCGAGCGAAAAATTGCAAGCGAAGTGTAAAATTTATGATAAAAACGTGCGACGCTGATAAGAATGTCCTGGACAAGCGGAAGTTGCTGCAGAAGCGAACCGGAAGTGGGTTGAAAGTGGAGAAGGGCTACGTGGAGTGGCTAGGCAAATGAACGGAACTCAAAAAGCAGACAAACGGTGATAGGGGGGGGTCTAGGGGGGTTAGGTCATAGCACCTTGTTGCTCGCTCGTTAGGGTAATAGTTGCAAATTCCTCTCCCGCTCTTCCGCTTTTCAACTTTTCCGTTTTCAGATTTACGCCTATGATACTAGGGAAAATGCAACAGAAAAATCTTTTAACATTTAATAACCACAGGAATATCCCATGAAAAGTTCCCTTTATTTCCCTAATATTTAAACTATTAACTAAGCTGTCATTCAGCTGGCCAAGAAACTGAGCTATAAATCCATTTGCTGGATCACACAAATGCTTCCGGTTCTTCCGGGCAATTAACCTCCTCCAAAACGAACAAAAGGCAAAGGACGAGAGGGTAAGCAAGGATGAAGTATAAAGCCAAGACAAGGAAATCGCGACTTGTGAGCGCCAGGTGGCGCCAATTGGTCTTATCCTTCGGTCAATGCAATCAGGCTCGATGAGAGCAGAAAAGAGGGAATGCCGCAGAAAGGTGTAGAAGGGAAAGGGCATGAAAAGCGGATGAAAAGTGGGTGGATTGCGGAAAATACTGCTGCAGTTGCTGTTGTTGCTGTTGCTGTTGCTGCAACCGTGTGTCGATTCCATGGGCCTCCGGCCAGCTGCTGCATATTTTCCGCTCCCGATTCCCGAGCTGAACATAGGAGAGGGGCAGGGGCAGGGACAGGGACAAGGGGCATGGGCAAAAAGCCGATGGCCTAGGGCCAGCTGCATTGCTGTTTTGATTAAAAGCATCCGGCCTTTGAGCTTCGCCAACAGAAGGACTCGAAGGACTCCCTAGATGCTCCTGCCAGTGTGTATGTGTGTCTCTGTGTGTGTGTTTCTAATTTGATTTGCATTCCAACAAATTTCGATCTCACACCATTTCTGGCCAATGGCTATTTGGCACAAAGTGAGCCGAGCTCGACTCTTGGCCAGCTCTCAAATGATGTCCTGCAGAGCACGTGGCTACACAGTAAGAAATCTTAATTATTCAACTTTAACATCTTATTACCATATTGTCCTAAGTTAACCAAAGATTTTCTCTCAGTGCATGCTGCCAAATGCAGGAATGTTCACTGTTCACTATCTTCTGGATTTCGGATTTGGTTCGCCCCGAAACGGATGAGCTAGCTAAGCTGAGTTCACCTCAATCAGCGTGCAATTTAACCTTTTGGCCAAGTGCCCGAATTGTGTCATCTTCGCTTTTGTCTGGTTACCATTTTTATGGTGTCTGACATTGCGTATACGCAACGTGGCATAATTTATGCATGAATGCGACTGCACTTGGCGTTGTTCGGTTGGGGGGAAATATATATATATATATGAGTTATGACAGATGCTGCTGCCCCCAAAAAGAACGAGGCCAAAAGCAGGCCCACAACCATTCAAAATGTTTGACAGCCAAGGCGATGGAAATTCCCAAAACTAATCAGCACGAAAAACGTGGCTGGCTGGCTAGCTGGTTGGCTGAATGGCTTTCTCTTTCCGAACAAAAAGGGTAGGAAAAGGAATCATAGATAGTTAGAGGAGACTCTGGCCCACTTGGGCTCGCCTGCTGCTGCCGTAGCATCAAATAATAACACGCATTTTCAATGGATCCTTGGTGTTGTAAACTTGTCCCATAAACACAGGGCCCAAATGGAGTAGGCAAGTGCACAAAAAACCATTAATCAAATGAGCCTCTACTTTCAGTATGTGTTAGTGCCTGTATGTGTATGTGTGTGTGAGGAAACGGAAGTGTTACACTAAGCCATTTTGTCGGTAGGTTTGTCAAGCTAGCGAAAGTTCCTGACGAAGCACTGGATACCCTTAACCTCCTGGGAGCCAGGAGAGAATTATGGCCTTCTCTGACAGAAAAAATGAATGAAAGGGCGAAAACTCAAAGGGTAATAAGCAAGAGCAACGAAAGATTACATATTTTTCTTTCATATTTATACAACTTAAATGATTTTCCTTAAAAAAATCTTCAAGGAACAACACGAAAAGTGCAATTTGACTTCGTTGGCCACAACAATTATCTGAAGGCTTCCTCTCATGGCCCCAAGTTATATTTCACACTTGTGTTCGGGCTTTAACTTTTATCTCGGTATTCCCCCATCCTCATATCAACCATAACACCCAGCATGGAAGCCCCCCTCCCATCAGACATCTCGTTATGGCCATAGGCCAAATCCAAAGCCAAATGCAAAAACTAAAGCCAAAACTTTTTGTTTAGCTATTTGTTGCTTTTGTATTCGCCTGGCTATCCTGGCACGCACACTAATAGATGCAAATACATACATTAGCACATCGACAAACACACAAAGGCACTGGGAAAAAACCGCTAAGGAAGTTCTAAAGGGGAAATACCTTGATTTTTATAGAACTTTTAAGACATTTTTGCCATTTAAATTAATTTTTATGATAAATTCACATTAAAAACTTGATAATTAACACAATTAAGACTAACCCTTAAGTAACTTGAATATTAAAATATTAGTTTTCTATCTAAATTTCTCTCTGTGCACACTCAAACTCATACAAAGAGTTGCCGTGTCGCTGGTGAATGGGGAACATGTGTTTGCGCATTTAGTTTCCTTCTCCGCTGGCTCAACGCAACTTGATGAAGTGCAAAAAATAAAAAAAAAAAAAAAGGAAAAAACACAGGTGAGACAGGAGAAAGAGAGTGGCAAAAGGGGGGTTGGGGGGTTAGGGGGCGAAAGTTGAAGCTGACAGCTGTCAGGCGAGCTAGCCGAAAACATATTTGGAAGCCTTAAAGAGCTGAGCTCGAGATCTAAATAATCCCAATAAATTTGTCGCCAATTTTCAGGGAAAACTAGATAAAAGGCTAAGATTTTCTTTCAGTTTTCCAAGTTCGTAGACTTTACTAATGAAATAATATAAAAAAAAAACAAATCAAAGGACCAGGATCAGCGATATCTTTTTAGTTAATATTAAAATAGAAAAATAAACATTTTTAAGGGGATTTCCAAGGCATTTTCGTGCCTAGGCAATTTATGGATTTATTCAGAGATTTTTCTGCATGTGTACTCTTCTCGTTCGTGATAATTAAAAGGTAATTTTAATGGTCCGCTGCATTCGGTGGCTGGACTGCAAGAGCCAAGCCAGACTTTCGATTTTCCAAATGCAATTTTCCAACAATTTTTTTCCTATCTTTTTTGATTTTGATTTTGCAACACAAAAGGTAATTCAATTAAACTGAACCTAATATTGGCGATCGATTATTCGCATAATCATTACAAAAGCCGCTCCATCAAAAATTCATAAATTAGGCCATATATCTGTGTCTATATCTATATATATATATAATATATAGATGCATCTGTCAGTTGATGTCAAGTGTCAGAAATGTGTCGGAATGTTTGACAATTTGGCTTGTCCTGTGTGCGATTTGCTATTTGATTATTGTTCGATTGAAATGTTTTTGCTACGAAATATTGCATAATCTCTTGCCCTTTAAGCCATCATGGCCTCTTCCCCTCTTCCATCAGTTTATGTTTTAATTACAAAATTAATATCAATTATGCCACCTGGAAAATCTGTAAATCTGCAAATCTACTTTGCATAAATGGCCACATACTCGACTGTTGACCAATTTCCCAACTGCATTGCCAGTCAGTGAATTTTAAGTGGCCGAAAACTGAAGTTTGAACCCTGGCTAGTTTCCAGTATAAATGGCTCAATGTTTGCCTTTAGATTTAGTCATTAATTCGATAAAACAAAGTTAGTTAGTTTGACTTTTAAGCTAGTTAATAAGGTTAATTAAATATAAATAAAAAGAGGCCATAAGAAGATGGCAGTTAAAAGTTAATTAAAGTATAAAAATAATTAACAATTATCATAAAGCCAAGCCCTGCCCTGATTATTTAATAACAATAAAATGTGTAAATTACCACCCCGCCCCCCCTTTGGAGTCTTTTTAAGTGATTTTCAAATTTCCTCCCCCCTCCCGCACTCGAAATTGACATTTCATTTAATTTGGCAACAGCAGAATTTTATTGTCATTTCATTTGATTAAAAATTTCATAATATGGGCGCCGCTCTCTTTTTTATTTTCCTCCCCTTGCTGTGGGATATTTTGTCAACAGGGAAAAAAAGACAAAAAAAAAAAAACAGAAACAGCATTCGCGGCTGGAAAAAGTGAAAATCTAAAATTTTTGGCCCGCAGGCGTTGAAGCTTTGAATGTGTTTGTGAGTGCGTGTTGGTGTTGGTGTCCCCTTGAATAGCGGCAAAAAAAAAAATGAGAAAAATTAATAAAAAATAAACCGAAAAAAAGTGAGATAACAAAAAAAAAAAAGATGAAATTGTGCCGCAGTATTTGCGTTTGGCGGCATTTTTCCGCTGTTGGCCGTCTCTTTGGCGCGTTTTCACCATTTTCCACCCCCCCTGCAATGTTGCTGCCGCTGCTGCTGCTGCTGCACATGGCGCTCTGCTGATGGCTTCATATTCATTTAGTCTCCCAATTCCTTTTGTTTATCTTTGCCGTCCGTCGCAGCTTTTTACTTGCTGTTTTCCTTCTTTTTTTATTTACATTTAGATGGAATTTTTAATTCCAATTTGATATGTGTCTGAGGATGGGTCTTACCATTCGAAACAAGAGACAAAAAACGAAAAACTTTTAACTAGCAGCTGGCCATTAACTAGAGTTTTATCAGCTTTCAGTTTTAGCTTCTTAAAAAGTTATAAAGACCCCAAAAAACGATCGCCCATAACTCTCTGATATCTGAATTTTCTGTTAAGTTTATATGATTTCCAATATAAACACTGCCTTTGGGTGATTTTTCCACAGATTTACCGTACTTCCCCCTCCCCCCTTTGGCGCTTCAACAGCTTTTTGTCGAGATCGCCCCCCCCAAGGGCAGCCTGTTTGCCAGCGGCATATCGCTCCGTTTCCCAGATTCCTCACGCAAACATTTTTCGCATATTTCCGCCATATTTTCGCATTCAAACGAAAATCCTTTTGATATTGGCCCCGCCAGCAGCATCATCAGCATCATCAGCAACCTCTTTACCATTTTTTTTTTTTGTTTTTTTTCTCGTCAACGTAATCGTTTCGTAGCCCTGGACTACGGGTTGTCCTTACCCAAAAGCTTAACGATTTCATTAACAAGGACACACAATGGCAGCTGATTGTTGTCGTGTTGCCGCTGTCACAAATTTCACTGGCAATTAGCAGAAATACCAAAAAATACAACAACAACAACAACAGCAAGAAACAAAAAATGAAACGAAACGAAACGCTTAACCGGTTTAATTAGGGGCGCCCCAAACTGGAGATGAAGAAAAGAGGAGGCCAAGCATCAACATCCACATCAACTGCAAATTGTTTTCATTTTCCCCCGCAGCAGCGGCTGCTAACTGGCAAACCCGTCACGCCGCCACAAGAAAATCACAAGAAAATCAAACAAAAAAAAAAAAGCAACAACAAAAAAACAACAACAACCAAAAAAAAAAAAAAAAAAACACACATTAGAAACTTTCGCTAAAAAATAAATACGAAAAAAAAAAAAAGGTAAAGCAACACGAACCAGTCACACACCAGTCCAGTCGTCCGGCAAATGTTGCAGGTTTCCAACGGTTGCAATAAATATTGCAACTTGTTATTAGAAGACCAACAAATATGGCAGGTAAAATAACAACAACAGGAATGTATAACAAACTGATGATGATTTTCCAAGGAAATATTATTAAGAAGAAGGAAGAAGTTTTCCTTTTTTGGTTTTTAGAATTTCTGCAAAATTTTGCAGCTTTTTGGTTATTGGGAAAACCATCTCTTCTATCCCTTCTACCCACTAAATCTAGCATTACAAGCTATCAGAAGATAAGAAGAACATTTCAAATCCATCAAACATAATGCCACTTATGCGGCAGATTGCTTGCGATGCTTTAAGATCAGCAGTTTAAGCAAGAAAATGTAAGATTCCCAGATTAAGAGTCACAACTTAAGCTTATAAAAATCTTTAAAAACTAATCTAAAAAATCCAAAAAATTTACCAATTTTAGTATTTAAACGTAGTCCATCAATCTGCTTCTTTAGTAGCTTCCTCCTTTCCGTTTTAATCAGAGTTTCCCAAAGAAAATGTCACCAAATTTGGCCGTTTTCGAAACCAAATCTCAAAAATTTAGCTAAACAAGTTTGTTCTTTCGTTTCTCGCAGTTAATACTTTGACACCACACAGCACAGCAACAAAAAACAAACAAAACAAATGAGCACGTGTCAACGCAACACAACAACAACAACAACAATAACAACAACCACTATCCAAGGGCCAAAACCAAAACAAAACACTCAACAATCAGCGGCGCCAAACATCAAGTTTGAGTTTGAGAAACCCGCGCGGGAAACTAAAAAACTTTGAATTTCAATATCGTTTGTGTGGCACACAAAGTCAAAGTCAAAATAAACACGCAATTTATGTTGCTGCGTTGCTAGTTGCACGTTACTGCGTTGCTTTCAATGTTGCAAGTTGCAAGTTGCTGTATTATTGCCGCCACGAGAGACACGAGACACACACGCTGAGCGCTCGCTTGCAACTGAAGTTGCCGTCTGATAATGCCGCCTGTGTTTTGCCATTTTCCGACTGCCCAACTGGCTGGCACTTTTCCGAACCGCATTTTCCGCAGCCGAAGCTCAAGAGCCGAAACCCAAACACGAATCGCAGCGGCAACACGAGGCTGCCACTCGTCTTGCCACTTTTCCCCACTTTTTTCGCCTTCGTTTGGTGGCGGCGAGTGCAGCGTCTGCATTTTCCACTTTTGGGCGTGTGGTGAAAACTTACGCCAAAATATGACCAAGCCGGTACCGCCTTCTACTCTTTAACCCCCCCGCCCCTCCTCTGAAAAATAGCCTTGAACTGAACTGATGTTGCTGCTGCAACTCGAATGATTGCCGCCACTGGCCAGCTCTGCATCTTCTGGCCAGAAAGTTGCAAGTTACAAATGGCCCTTCGATGCATGCGATTTCCTGAATATTTCTCAGTCTTAAACTGTCAAAAAAGTATCGCCTTTAAGTTATATCTTAGTAAAAAATGAAAAACAAAGATTCTTAACTGTTTCGGGGCTGCCAACCTGTCTGATAGATGCCAAAGTCGCGGACAGGGCTGCCAACCTGCTGCTGGCCGCTGAGTGCTGACAGCTAGCCAACAAGCAAGCCAAGTTATTATCAGTAAGTAAGCAGGGTTCCGCTGGCAATTTCGACAACTTGATCCTCATCCATTCACGGTCAGCTTAGGAAGCGCACCTTTTCGGGGTCTTTTTTTTCAGACTGGGTCAGGCTGGGAGCTGGCCACAAATCCCGACACCCCCGAAACGAACCGAACTCTAAGCCAATTCAAGGACACGCGGACACAGGACACGCGGCCAAAAAGCCAAACAGCCAAACAGCCAAGCCAGATGAGGCCAGACACTCTCTAAATACACACACAAGTAAAGGGAAAATGAGAATCTAGAGACTGGGTCCAAAAAGGAGTCGCAAATCCCGGGGACAGATAACAGTCTCGGACGGAATTCGGTTGCCGGATTTCGTGGGTCACTTTGGGTCCCATGTTAGGTGCACTTTTATCCATCCAGCTACCGCTGGAACCTCTTTATTTTCCACCTTCCTTACTTGCTTCTTTCTTCCTTGCCCACATCTCCATTTCGTGCACTTGTCCACCTCACCACCTCTACCCACACGTCTTCCCTTGGAAAACCCTCTTTGCCACAGTTTTTTTGCCCCCAAATCTTTGACAAATGTAAACAGTCGTCGCTGTGTAGCCGCTGCTTCAGTCAATGCACTGAAAGAAATTCTAGTTCCTAAACTGATAATTTCATTAAGAAATAGTTTTATATTAGCTAATCATTAGCATTAAGTTTTTAGCCAGAACTAATTTAACATTTCCCTTAGATTATTATTTTCTAATTTCATTTCCAAATCTAGTTTTGAATTTTCCAAGTGCCCTCTGCCAGGGCAATGCGGGTTGTGCTTTTCCCTGCTGTTTTCCCTTTGGCTCACACTCGCTTTTCCTTGATTGTGCTCGTCGGGTGTTTTATTTTCCCCCGGTTGCAACTTTAGATTAGAGTTAATCAGCTTAGCGTGTCACTTTGACTATTAGGTGCTATGTTTTCGTTCGTCAAAGGATGGGTCAGCACTGGCGGGGGCTGTGTTAATTATGATTTGCCACCCCCACCCACCCAACAGGCAACTAACTAACCTCTCACTTTCTAACATTAGAACTATGGGTATATATCACTAGATATATAGTGAAAACTCTTCAGTTTTTTTAACCACTTTAGCTTGAAAATGAAGTATTTTGTGAAAACAATTAACTTCAAGTTGGTGACTGTGATTGATGTCCAGCATGATTGTTGGTCTCAAACTGGCTTTTCTTTCTGTTTTGTTAGATTGAACTTGATTTCCACTAGAAAGTGAGCCTACACCTCGCTGCTCCACTAACCATTTTCACCTGCGAAAAAAAACTGGCCTTTCTACGAACAGGATTTTCGAGTTGGTCGCTGGGAAAGTAAACGAAAACAGCTGTTGCAAGTGCAAGTTGCTGCTGCGACTGCTGTTGCTGTTGCTGTTGCTGTTGCTGTTGCTGTTGCTGTTGCAACAACATTCATTGATTGCCATTTTGGCATTAGTTTCAATTTATTTCGCTTTGAGTGTGATGGATGGCACCGGCGACAGCGAAACGAACGTGGCCCAAAGCCGGGCCATCAATTGCACATTCCGCCGGCTTTTAATGCCAAAACAATTGTTGCTCAAAATAAATGTATATCATTGCAGGCAGACAAAGCTTAAAAAAAAATAAGAGGAAAACATTATAGAAAACATAGAAAGAAAACCTGGAAAACGAATCGAATCGAATCGAAGCGAAATTGAATTGCAGTCAAGACGACGAAGACGACGACGACGACGACTGCGACGACTAAAGCCGGAAAAAAGGCTAGAAAATGCGAGCAGCTTGAGGAAAATACTGGAAATGGCCAAGCAATCAGATGACCATTGTGTTGGCGGGAGGAAAGCTGCAAGGGGGTGTTGTATTTTCGGAAAATCAAGGAGCCTCCTCCTCGGTTTCCACTTGACAAATGTGCCGTACAAATGCTGTGGACGCCATTTAATTGCCAACATTAATTGGCACACTACGTACTCCTCCTCCTCCCCCCCTGCTCCACCCACCGCCACCGTCCAACCAAAGCAAAGTGGTCAAACAGATTTTGATGCTTTTATAAATGGCACGTCAAATTGTTGTTCAATGATTTCCAATTGACTTATTGCCGCAGAATTCAATTGAGTCCTCGTCGGTCTCGGGTTTTCCTCAGTTTTTTTTCTCTCAATTTTTCTCAGCTCTTTTCCCCCTTTTTTGTACTGCCCTGGCTGTGAGCATTGTGAGTTCATTTCGATGTATATTTTAACCACACAAGTCAGCATTTTGTATGGCCAACAATGATTGGAGTTATCAAGACCAAGTGAAAGTCTGGGAGAGATCGCATTTGAATGCAAGGAAGTGGAAGTGAAAGATTCTCAACGGGTTTTTTTTCAAATTTAAAAAGGAAAATCAAGAAAAGGGGAGTAGTGGATATACAAATCACAGAAAAGGATTCAAAATTATATATTTTAAACTCGATTTTCTATGAACTTTTGATACCTTCTTATCAAAAAAAACAGACCAAAGTGCCATCTGTTGGTCATGTTTTGCGAATAAATACAAAATTTTTGCAAATTTTCAATTAAATTGCTTAACTGTTTAACAGGCAATTACCGTTAACATGCGACCGGATTAGGCATGTCCTTTGTATTACTATTTCAATCTTTTTTTTAAGCCCCTTTTCAGCCGGGCATTATTAGGGTTAAACAAGGAAACTTTGTCTATTTATACAAATTATAATCCGAGCGATTTACGGCCAGTCAATAGCACGGCTGACTTGCAGCCTCCAAAAATGGAGGCAACAATGCAGGCCGCACTGCTAATTAGATGCCCAGACATGTGTGTGCATGCAGATTTCTACACAGAAAGAAAAAGTTTTTTAATTTAAAAATTAAATCTGTAAGACAAAGTCTCTTTTTGGCTGTTACTAATCTAGTTTTTCTGCTTAACACTGATATATAAGGAAAGTTTTTTCCTATATCTATATATATATATAATCTTTTCTTTCAGTGCAGAGGCCAGCACAATGGCCTGCTTGAAAGTTACGGGCTAAAAAATAAAATTGAATTGGTTAAATAAACAAAAGTAGCGAAAGGTATATTTATTAAATTTACACAACATCCGCTGTTCCTGTTAACCATTTCCGTGTTCAAACAAAAAGCCAGCAAACACACATGAAAGGCGAAAGAGAAAAGAGGCGGGGCGGGGCTGGGCTGGGCTGGGTTGTAGGTGCCCCCAAAAATATGCAAGCAATAAATTCATGGAAAAAACCAAACCGTTGCAACAACAATAAGCCAACCAGCGCCCTCATGAAATGTGTAGGCGTGGCAAAATAAAATCAAACAAAAATTCCATGTAAAAATACGAGAAGTAAGTTTTTAAAAGTGGGAGAAGGGGGGAGTGTGGCAAGGCAAGGATTGGGGGCAACCGAAAAAGTGCAAACAACTGCAAAAGCATATCAATAGCAATGATGACGCTGCTCCACGTGACCATTCCATATGTGGCCCTGCCACAAACTGTGAACTGGGGATATAATCACCAATGAAAGAGTACCCTACGTTTCATAATTATAAATCATCAACCTGCTTAAGCATTGAAAACTTACAACAGACTTAAAAGTTAATCAACTTTAAAGCTCATTAACTTAGTATCTCAGATAACACTCAGACTTAACACAACGAAACGCACTGTCCACATGCAGACTTTTGAATACAAAATTTCCAGGTTCTTGTTACACTTGGACGAAAGTGAATTATGGGCAGTTGAGCAACTTTGTACACCTACATTTACGTATTTTTCAATTAAAAAATAATAAAAAAAAGTTTCTTCTGCTCGGTTGGAAAATGTTGGGGGGAAAATGTAAAAGAAAAACAAACGTATTGGGAATTTTAGCATGGCTTCGAAAATCCTTGAATTTGCAGCATTTTAAGAAGCATTTTCATTCGAATTTTGCACCAAAAAAGCAGAAAAAACTTTAGTTAGACGACGTTTGGCTCTAACGACAGATAGAAAGTCAAATAAAATAACCGGAAAATGGACGCGAAAAATGGTTGAGAGGGGTGTGATTGGTAAAAGGGGTTCCCCGCCTGAAATCCTGAGCCTCAAAACTGTGTCAAGTGAATGAAAGAAACATAAAAACATGCCCGCAAACCAAAATGAAAAAAAAAGTTAAGGAAAAACTACAACAACAACAAAAATATGCCAAGAAAACTGCAAGCGGCCGACATTAATCTTCGAAATTTGTTTTGTGCAAACAGGAAAACCACACACACACACACACACACAGAGAAAGACAAAAGGATATAAAACACAACAATTCGGAATGCTCTTTAAATCTCTCGAGGTTTTACAGCAATAGTTCCTTCGCCGGATAGTAT